TATAAATATATATATATTTTAAAAATTAAAAAACGTTATAGAAGCCAAATTTTAAAATATAATTAGTATTAAATGGTTATAAAATATGCTTAAAAGGGTGATGTTTTGTGTTAATAAAGAATAATTTACTCGGGATATTTTCACAAAAGAAATGAATTTTGTATGAAAATTCTTTGCATCTTTCTATTAATTACATGAAAAATTCCAAAAATATTCTTTTTCGATCGTAACAGAGATCATAAAATATTTTTATAACCAACATTTATCATAAACTTCGCTTATTACCAACATATACTCATAAACAAATAATAAATCATACCCCGTTATAATAAGCTTCGGAGTTTTATGTAGTCGCAGGTAATTTGTTTAAATTATAAAGTGTAGAGAAATTAAAATTAACACAATAAAATTGTTTGTATTAAATTATTTAAAATAATAATAATAACGATTATTTTGAATTGAGACACTTCCTTTCCTCTTCCATATAAAATTTGATTTATAATTTATTCTATTTATAAAGGATATTTATTAAAGAATTTTACAATTTACACGATAAAAAAAATAGTATAGCGGCGGGGGTCGAGTCGACTTCCTTTCATAGCAGTAAAGTTATGTCAAACAACAACCTTTACAGGATTTAAAATACTTTTATACGGTTCTAAAATTAGCTCGAGCAATTGTTAACGAATAACAAAAGAGAAAAAATATTATTATTAATTTATTAAAATAGTTATTATCTATGTCTACGCTATTACCTTGATTAATAACACCCCTTTACCTAAGAGTCACGTGGCGTGACGTCAGATATACAGAGAGTGTGTGTGTGTGTGAGAGAGAAACACTTTATATATAATTGTAGGCATTAGTTTTTTAGTTTGGACGATAATTATTTTATAAATATTGATAATTTTTTAAATAACATTTATAAATAGAAATAAGGCAGAAAGTTGATCGACCCATTTCTCCTGGAATGACGTATTCACGTTTGTCGAGTAGTCGAGTCTTGCCAATGGATTCTGAGTCACTGAGAAGGAAATGGTTGAAATGCGAATGAGGGAAATAATCGTCTTGGATTAAGTAGAGCGAGAAGATTTTGAAAAAAGATGGCAAATAGGGATACAGGTAAGTAATAATTCCATTTATGTCATGTTATATACAATTTTCACTCGTTATCAATATCATGCTTGCGATTTTTAATGGATGCCTCCTTCCTTACTTCACTCTCTCAAAATAATCATTTGTGGAATGCAATTGCACGGCATCATCAAAATTGTATTATGCATTAAAATTATTTTTAAAAAATTTCAATGGATATTTCGGAAGAAATTCATTCCATTTCAACGTGAAATTGATTATATTTTATACAAATTTTTTTTTCTTTTGTAAAATTAATCAGTTTCACCAAACTGTAACACATGTACTTTATATGCTAAATATTATATACGATACGTTCGGTAAATTACGCACGGGAAAATTTACTTGACGGTGCGTGATTTTTTTTTTTTTTCCTTCTATAAGGATTGAACATTGCTTCTGTGAGTTGCGTAACTTTCTCACTTCCAAATTACTCAAGCGGACAAGTATTATTCTACAGTCTTGGACTTAGCACGCATCATCTGTCACTCCTCCTTTTTTATCTTTGAAGGTCCCGTGTGTCTCCAAACTAGAGGTGTACCCTATGCGTGGCCCCCTTCTCGGGTACCCCCCGTGAGCTCGTCGGATGATTGGAGCGGAGAGTTTTTCTTGAATTTGAGCATCAGATATGTGAATGACATTTTAATTATTTGGTCTTGAAAACCCCATCCAATAATTCCTAAACAGATTCAATAAGTTCTTAAATTAAAATTGGATTATTCATAAATTGTATTGTTATAATTTGCAGATGATTAAATTTTACATTTATAACTAGACCATTTTATTTTTTTCATTCTTCTGCCAATTCGGCAAACTCTCCTCTTTCTTTGATCTCTTCTTCATCCTCCTCATCCTCTTTTTTTCTTCTTAGCATGGATGATCTTGATCAGAATGTAAACATAAATGATAAATCATTAATGTTTATTTTTTGTTGATAGCAATGCAATAATTAAGAATTTATACTCTAGATCAAGTTTGTTTATATTTGGATAGAAAAAAAATCTATTAATATTAGAATAATTGCTTTGTAAATTTTTTATACTTCCATTTATATATTAGTATGTAGANATTATATATATTTAACACAAGTTAAAGATTGTAGCTGTATAAATATCAAAAAAATATTAGTATGTTTGCAAGATTAGATACTTGATTACATTATTGATAGTATTGAATATCTGAAATTTAATTTTAAAAATATGTAGGAAAAATTCATCAGAAGTATAGGTAAAGTGTCATTAACTAAGGAATTAACAATTGCAAGTACTGTATATAACTGATTAACTGTTATGTAGGATAGCATTTGGTTGAAATTTAAAATATTAAATGGATTTGATATAAATAAGAAGTAAATTGTGTGAACAGTCTAAAACTATGTTTTGTTAATAATAAAATAATTAAGATAAATTAGAATAAAGTTAATTTTGTAAATTTTATTCTATAATAAAGATGTGATGTTAATGAGGCAGTATAAAGATTTTTTTCTTTTAAAAAAAAAAAAGGATAATCATATTCAGACTATTTTAATATTTTCATGAAACTGTTAAATGTATATATGCATGTAGTAAGATTTTAAAAAATATATAGGAATTTGGCATTAAAAAGTGGCTTTTTCTATATTATAAAGTTATAATTGCTTAATTAAGATGAACAATCTAATTCACTTTTATTGCACAGTAATATATTAATTATATTATTATAAATTGACAGTTCAACTACATTTACTTTCAAAGAACATATGTAATAATATAATATTTGTATGTATTATTTTTCTTGCAATTTTTTGAGTAATTACTGTATTAGATTTTCTTGCCAAATATCTAAACCAGCGCTTCTTAAACTTTTTTATTCATGACCCCATTTATAATTGTGACTTTTTTTTTCACGACCCAAAAAATATAAAATAAAGATATATACAAATTTGCAAAAACAATAATGGTGTACTACCACAGTTCACTCTTGTGTTACAATGGAACAGAGACAACTGAATACACTGAAAAGCAACAACACTAATGATTCAGCAACCCTACAGTGTTGCTGAATCGTTGTCTTGCTGCACCAGAAGTGACACAAAGTGCAACTCACAAAACCTATGACAGAAAGTGTGCCATTTTCAAACGCTCTGAAATTATTTTCCATATTTTACATTAAAATCTCGCGATCCCAAGATTTCGCTAAGTGGCCCCAAATGGGGTCGGGACCCATAGTCGGGACACATCAAGGCTTCTTAAACTATTTAAGAAGCCCTGATCTAAACCAAATGATTGCTGTAATTAATAGGATTATTTTATGCCTAATTAATTATGGCAATCCTTTGATTTAGTATTAATATATCAGGACTTTGGGATGTTATACATATATATGCCAAATATCTATTTTTTAAATCACAGGAAACTTATAACTTACAAGAATGTAGGAATTAGTAACTAATAATACTTTTTAAAATGTAGTGAATGGAGTGATGAATAGAAAGTAAGAGCTATAGTGGTAAGAGAATAAAGCTGGAATGAATAATTAATGAATGTTTAGTATTTTGTGAAAATTAAGATTTTTTTTTGTATTTGAAAAACCTCTAACATTTAAGAAAAATTATAGAATATGAACAAATGTTCCTTGTTTGATCATTCTAATTAAATAACAGTTTTTCTTTGTCCCAGTTTAACAGTTATGTAGTGTTTTTAACATTTCCTCATCTTTCAAATTTTTAATTCAAGTACAATATACTGGTAAGAGAACAAAGTTTTTACAGGTTAAAGATAATTTTAAAAACTTAATGTAAAAATTTAATTTACATTATTAAAAAAATAAAAATACAAAAATGCATCAAATTATCCTATTTTTGAAATTTTTTTGCCACATAACAATTTTTTATTTTCTTTATACCAAAATATTTCATTTGAATTGTAAATTCTGAGAATGAGAAAACTGAAAGTTAGAAGTTATTCGATCAAATGTAATTTGCTAAAATTTATTAATTTCTCAATGTCTCTTTAAAAGAAATTTATTGTGTAAAATGTTTTTTTGCATATCATATTCAGAACTGAAATATGTATTTTTGATTTTCTCTGATTTTTTTTTTAAGAATCATACTTAATTTTTATTTTAAAAGTTTTGCTAGAAATTCATAATGTTTTTGACATATAACAACTACATGAAGAATATTTTATCTGTATGATTTTTTGTATAGATATAACTTTAAATATGAACACTTTTGATTTATAAAAAAAAAAAGTAGGACTCTATCTTTGCATAGAATTCATTATATGGAATTATTTTTAAAATGTCATATGTAGAGAGATTATTGAGGATATATATAAAGAAACAAGGAAATTTGAACACATACTTAACACCAAATTACGTAAGCAATAAACAACTGTGTTTCAGCATTAAAACTTTTTAATAAACATAAAATAAGTACTTTCAATGGTACATTTTGTAATCTACAAAAGACGGTAATGCAGTATCGAAAGAATTTACATATATAGTTTATGTTCATTAAAAGTTTTAATGCCAAAGGACAGTTGCTAAACAAATAAGGGATATATACATACTGTATATGTTTCTTCAAATTCATAAACATTAATAGTCAAAACTGCTATTATTGAAATAAGGATCTGACAAAATTTCGGATTAATATAAGATTGTTTAAAATTTATTTATATTTTTCTACTTTACTCAAGAATATTATGAGAAAGAAGCAACTGAAAAGAAAGTAAAAATAGAGGGATTATTATTATAATAAAAAAACTAATCTGTAGATTATTAAATTCTTTAAAAGAAAATATGATTAATTATTTTTTTTCTAGTAATTAATAAGTAGATTAATGAGATGTAAAAAATTTTAAATACTGATGATAAAAATTAATTAAGTAGGATTAATTAAGTGTGCATTAAAATGAGTTTAAATATAATCTACTATATTTTAATCCTTTGTTAAATTACAGATGATTTCTATGAAAATTTATGAATATTTTATGTATTTAACACAAGTTAAAGATTGTAGCTGTATAAATATCAAAAAAATATTAGTATGTTTGCAAGATTAGATACTTGATTACATTATTGATAGTATTGAATATCTGAAATTTAATTTTAAAAATATGTAGGAAAAATTCATCAGAAGTATAAGTAAACTGTCATTAACTAAGGAATTAGCAATTGCAAGTACTGTATATAACTGATTAACTGTTATGTAGGATAGCATTTGGTTGAAATTTAAAATATTAAATGGATTTGATATAAATAAGAAGTAAATTGTGTGAACAGTCTAAAACTATGTTTTGTTAATAATAAAATAATTAAGATAAATTAGAATAAAGTTAATTTTGTAAATTTTATTCTATAATAAAGATGTGATGTTAATGAGGCAGTATAAAGATTTTTTTCTTTTAAAAAAAAAAAAGGATAATCATATTCAGACTATTTTAATATTTTCATGAAACTGTTAAATGTATATATGCATGTAGTAAGATTTTAAAAAATATATAGGAATTTGGCATTAAAAAGTGGCTTTTTCTATATTATAAAGTTATAATTGCTTAATTAAGATGAACAATCTAATTCACTTCTATTGCACAGTAATATATTAATTATTTTATTATAAATTGACAGTTCAACTCTATTTACTTTCAAAGAACATATGTAATAATATAATATTTGTATGTATTATTTTTCTTGCAATTTTTTGAGTAATTACTATATTAGATTTTCTTGCCAAATATTCTTAAACTTTTTTTATTCATGACCCCATTTATAATTGTGATTTTTTTTTTCACGACCCAAAAAATATAAAATAAAGATATATACAAATTTGCAAAAACAATAATGGTGTACTACCACAGTTCACTCTTGTGTTACAATGGAACAGAGACAACTGAATACACTGAAAAGCAACAACACTAATGATTCAGCAACCCTACAGTGTTGCTGAATCGTTGTCTTGCTGCACCAGAAGTGACACAAAGTGCAACTCACAAAACCTATGACAG